CCTCTCTGGCTTCCTGAGGTTAAAGCAAAGAGATCCTACTTTTGGCAAACCTATTGTGCCTCTTCAGCAAGCAAGGTCACCCTGCTGTTACTGGGTGTACCCTGGCAGAGATGTACTGCCCTAAGGCTCCAGACTGGCACAATGCTGAAAGCACCAATGATCCTCTCTGTTCCAACATCTTAGCATCGGCAGCCCCTAAGATATCAACTGTCAGCACCCTGCCCAGCTGAGGGACTCCTCTGCTTCCGATAATGGGCTGTCACAGGACAGTGTAAGGTTGTCAGAACTACCTGGCAGGGAACTAGGGCTCATTGCTGACCTGAGCTGGGCATGGGAAGAGAGGGATGCATATTGAGGGTGGTCAGAGAGGGTGCCACGGAAGAGCGGCCTGTGGCTTGGGACTGTGGTGACAACGAAGGACATTCCAGGCAGAGAAAGCATCGAGGGCAGAGAGGACAGACGGACCCTCTCTACATAACAGCAGGAAGATGGTGTAGGCAGCAATGGGGTGGAGAGGGACCCTGTGCTGGTTAGTTCTGGTTCTGTTTTGTCTTCCTCAGCTTGACACAAGCTAGAGTCACTGAGGAAACTCGAACCTCAGTGGTAAAATGAATGATTGATTTGGGAGGGCCCAGCACACTGTGGGTGGAGCCATCTCTGAACAGGTAGTCCTGGGAGGAAAAAGAACGTAAGTTGAGCAGGAGCCAGAGGAGCAAGCCAGAGAGCTGCTGTCCTGGTCCATCTGCCAAGGCCTCTGCTGGAGCTCCTGCCTCCAGGATCCTTCCCTGCTTGACTTCCCGACTTGACTTCCCTTAACGGTGGGCCGTGATGGAGAGAGAAGCCAAATACACCCTTTCTTTCCCAAAGTCACTTTCGGTGATTTTATTTTATTTTTCCTGACAGCAAGAGAAAGTAACTTGGATAGGCCCTAGGGCCCCAGATGTGCCAACTGGGGCATATTTATGTGAAGGCCACAGCTTCGTGTGTGTGTGTGTGTGTGTGTGTGTGTGTGTGTGTGTGTGTGCATGTGTGCTGCCCCAAGCCCCAGAGCCTCAGAATGCTCTGAGGTCTCCACAGCAGGGCTACCATCGCAGAGAACCCACATCCCAAGCCTTCTGGGAAGGCTTCTTCTCTCCACATTACAGAGAGGTTAAAAAATTTACCCAAGGTCACCCAGCCATCCTAGCGATAAAGCCGGAGGGGTTTTGTTTTGTGCTTTTTGTTTGTTTGTTTGTTTGAACAGCATCTTATTATAACATTGGTTGGCCCCTGACTCCCTAAAGTAGCTTGGGTGATCTTGAATTTCCAATCCTCCTGCCTCAGCATCCCAAGTGCTGGGACTACAGGTGTGCACCCCTATGCCCGGTCTATGCTGGGATGGGGAGGGGGAGGATAGAAGCCAGGGCCTCGTGCACACCTGGCCCACAGTAGCAGCTTTTGCTTCAGGGAGCTGTCAGCTGGACCAGAGCGAAGAATCCGATTAACTGTCTTACCAGCATTTCCTAAACTTGTTAGTTTTATATCATTAGTGTCTTAGTTTGGATTTTATTGCTGCGAAGAGACACCAGGACCTCAGCAGCTCTTATAAAGGAAAACGTTTACTCGGGGCTGGCTTATAGTTCAGAGGTTTAGTCCATTATCATCACGGCGGAAAGCATGGTGGCATGCAGGCAGACATGGTGCTGGAGTGGGAGCTGAGAGTTCTACATCTTGATCCACAAGCAGCAGAAGGAGACTATGTGCCATGCTGGGTGTAGCTTGAGCACCAAGACCTCAAAGCCCGCCCCCACAGTGACACACTTCCTCCAACAAGTCCTCACCTCCTAATAGTGTCATTCCCTGTGGGTCAAGCATTCACACACACACACACACACACACACACACACACACACGAGTCTATGGGGATCATACCTATTCAAACCACCATAGTTCTGTAAACAGTATTGCATATTTAGTCATATTGTAAAAGACTATTGACCTGCGGACCAAAGTGACTTATTAAAGGGTATTTAATTCAAAGCCATCTGTAGGAAGCTCGTCACCAGTCCCTTTTCTTGGAGGCTCTCCGAGGTCAGATTGTGTCTGACACAGTGTTCTGCCCCCAGTGTGTGCCCCGAGAGACAGCACATTGTGAAGAGACCTGGAATGTGGGGGACAGGCAGGTGGCCCAGAGGGTTATAGTGTAGAGGGGTGGGGTCAGAGGCAATCATGGGGGACATTCCGGAAACCAAAATCTTAGAGCCAGGGTGGAAAGCAAGTCATGCCCACTATGTAGCACAGCTCAGGGTGAGCGTAAAACCTACCCTGAGTCTACCCAGGATTTTCCAAGCAGCAGTTAACCACCGGTAAGCCAGAAGTCAGGGCATTTGCTGGGGCTGAAGGTGTATCAGGGAGCTTTGAGCTTTAAGAGTGAGAGAAGGGAACCTCTCAGACCTAGTGGCTACCCTGCCTCGTCTCCTGCCCCGGAGAAGCTGCCAGGAGAAGAGGCTTCAGGCTGCTCTGTGCACAGGTGCGCTCCTTTCTGTTTGGAAAAGGCATTGCTGAGGGCGAGGTCACAAGCCGGCTCAGTTGGGACCAGAATCTGTCATGGTGTCAGGGCCTGTGCCCGGCTTCCTCACCTTAACCTCTCTGGCCCCTTGCCAGTAAAAGGCAGCTGCTCTGTGTGTTGTACGCCCCACACCCGTCCCATCCCCACCTCCGCCACAGCTCCCTGCTGCGGCCTGAGCGGCCTGACGGGTCCTAACAAGATTACAGCTGCCCTGTGACACAGGCAGGTTAATTCCCTCTGGCTTAAAGGGCAGGCTGGGTCACAAGCAAGAGCAGGAAGGCATCTCCCTCCGAGAGGCTGTGACGATGCTTCCCAACACGGTTGCTGCCCAGGACCTAGAGTTCGCCATTGTCCTCACTCATCTTCCCTCTGGCTGGGTGCTGTTATCATCCCTGCTTTAGGAGTCGGGAGGCTAAGGCAGAGTGAGATGAAATGGCTTGTCCAGGGTCACACAGCTAGCGAGCAGCCGAGCTGGGTCTCAAACGCAGATCTCCTGGGCTTTGCCATCTTTAAGACTAGCAGGCCGTGGTGCCTTATACCCGGTCAGAGGCCTGTGTCTGTAGAGTCACAGACCCTGCTGGGCTGAGGACCTAGTATGGTTTTGTTGGACAGGCCTGTTGTTAAACTGCCTTCTCAAAAGTTATGCTTACTCCCACTGTCAGCCTCAGTCAGAGAAACTTCTTGCAGCGCAGGCAGTAGCTGATGTGTGACCGCTCAGCATGCTGGGAATGACTGTGGAAGGCTTCACCTTAAATGGGTCCTTTAGACCAACCCCTCAAGGCTCGGGGGACACCCTAGGAGAGGAGGCAGAAAGGAGAGGGGGCAAGCTGAAGGATGGGGAGGAGGGCTGTGACATGCCCTCTGCTGGACATGGCATGGCTATTGCATTCAGGAGTCCACCACAGCTGCGGTTGTCCCTGTGAGGTCAACAATGCCAGCACGGACGGGGGAGGGGCTTGTAAGCTCCACCCTTAGCTCAGGAGCTACTGGCAACTGGTGGCCGCTGCGGGGAAGGGGACTCATTTTTTCCGCATGCATGCATGCAACCATGCTCACGCAGGCAGCGTTAATTGCACTCTGGGTTATTTAAAGAAGAAGAAGACGACAGGGAAGTAGAAGCAGCATTGCTGGGGAGGGTCCAGGAGGAGATGCTATTGTAGGGGGGTGTTGTAAAGTCTCAAGCCAGGACAAATGGCTGACGTGCCTACCGACATATCAAAGGCCAGGCTGGTCCCAGGTCCTCCCAGCATCCCTCGGTCCTGGCTGGCATACCCTGTCCCCAGCCCTCAATCCTCCAGCCCAGGGACTGGGCTGCTGCTTCTCTGCATCCTCTGATCCCTACATAACGCAGCCATTTCTGGCTCCTCCAGTCTCTCAGTCTCCTGTTGGTCAGCGGCACCTCTCTGCTCTTCCTCCCCATCCCACCCCTGCCTCCTCACACGGCCTGACTCAGCTTGACCATGTTCGCTTTGCTCTCCCAGATACCTCTGGCGGTATTCTTCCTCCTATTTAAAATAAACCTTCTCTTCCACCACAGGAACATCATGTCCTTCTTTGGATTCTTTTTAATTACTTCTTTTTTTTTTTTTTCCTGCTCCGATGTGAACAAGATATGTTGTGTGTATGTGTGAAAAAAGAATAAGCAAGAATACTTTAAACATAAAAAAACAGTCCCTGAGGGATATGGGACGAGTGAGCATCTTGGGCTTGGAGCATCCTGGAAGAAAGTTTATTCATTTCCTGTTGACATTAGGCTGGAGTCTGAGCAACTAAACTCAAGTCTAAACTCCTCACCTGACCCTGCTCTGTCAAATGCCAGCTCAGTGACCATGCTGAGGGACTCAGGCTCTTGGCATCTCAGTCCCTCTCTGGATGACAAGGAGACTGGAACCCAGGCCCGAGGTGGCGGCCTTGGGTCCCCAGGGCTGGCGGTAGCACCAGGGCAAGCCTGGCCTCTCAGCATTCGGTCCTTCTACCTCTGAACCTGCACTGGCAAGGTGACACATTCACATCCCCTACTCCTGGGGACTGGCAAGAGCACGGATCAAGCTAAAACAACAATGCTTGGAGGACAGCCACCAGAGGCCCCTTGCACACTTACTGAGGCGGGCAGTGACTGGTACCTCACCGCCTTGTTTCCAGAGCTTCTGGGAATGAGGTGGGGCTGATGCGCGTCTGCTTCCTGTCGTGGTACCTGGTCCCCTCCCCTCTTCAGGAGAAGCATTTGGCGTTGAGGGCTGGACACCCCAACCACGTGGCCTGCTCTAATTTCCCAGGCCCTAATCTGCGCCCAGCTCCTAATGATGCAGCTGCTAATAGGATTGTGGCTTCCCTCTGGGTGGCTGCACAGACCATGGCTGCAAGGCTGGCCGTGGGTGCTTAGGGCCCCCCGTTCACCTGCGAGGAGACAGGCTCGTGCCTCCGGCCCAGACTGGGACACGGCCTCCAGTGCATGGAATGGTGCCAACGGGCTGGGCTCAGCATGGCGCTGGGCGCTGTCCTGGCTCGAGGGGGGGCAGTGTGTAAACACAACGGGCTACTCATCCTGTCGGTGTTGTCTGTCATCGTGGGCTGCCTCCTTGGCTTCTTCCTCAGGACCCAGCGCCTGTCACCACAGGTCAGGCCCCCCGGGGGGTGTGGGTCTACGGGGCTGGGGTATGGTTACAGTAGGTGAACCATTGTTTCTGTGAGCCTCAGAGTTCCCATCTATACCATGGGTGTGAGAAATACCCACGAGTATGGGGTGTCAGTTAAACGGCGGAAAGAGTGGCATGAAAGCCACACAGCCAGCACAGTAAGGTGGCCGGGGATAAAGGCACACCACGGAGAAGTTCAGGATGGAGGGCAAGGGTGGGGGAGATCGGAGGTCTACAGGGAACGCTCCCTACCGGGCCCTCACGGCCAGGATCCAGGATGGGTCCCCTATGCAGCAGGACCGGCAGGCTGAGGCTCAAGGGTGTGTGAGGTTTGGGAGCAAGGGGTCAAGCCTTTTATCTGGAGGTGGGCTGTTGGAATACACCTCGAGACTAAGGGGCTGGGGTGCAGGGAGCAAGAGCTGGAAGGTTCCCATCACCAGACACGGGCTGGAGACATCCGTGTAAAGCCATGACTGTGCAGATCCACCCTTCGGCGTGATCCCTGGGGGCTGGCAGGAGGCGGGAGACGGACGGTGAGGTGCATAGGCTGCGGCGTGAGTGCATTGTGTGGGCACTGGCTTGCTGTGGAATGTGGAATGGCCGATGCTACCTTAGACAGTATGGACGCCTGTTCCGTCAAGGAAGACAGTTCAGGACCATGAAGACAGGCGCTAAGGCCGGCTGGGCAGACAAGCCTGAACTCTCCCCCCCCCCCCCCCGCAACAGAGACAGCCGGGGTTCACAGCCCAGGCACAGAGGGACAGGTCAGTGGGCAGGAAGCGACTGAGACAAGAAATGTCAAGAGGAAAGCCCTTGCCTAGTGCGGACAAGGGCTCAAATATCGAGAAGAGGGAAAGAAAACTCGGATCAGATCTCAAGGGGCTGGAGGGCGAGGGGGGTCTCACTTAGCAGGGTTTCTTCGAAGAGCCTGTCAGTGGGCCCCCGGAGAGTCCAGGCCCCATAGATCCTTTGTCCTTCAACTCACCGATACATCACAGTGTCCCCGAAGCTGGAGGTGGGCTCCAGACTCAGACACAAATCTTCCATTAAAGGGATCACGTCCCCCTCATGGGACAAGCCTGCTTACCGCCTTAGAAAGAAGCAAGGACTCCAGAAACACAGGGCCCTGACCGTCAACCCCGCAATGACTGGGCTAATTGCCCCCTCCGCTTTGGCCTCACTTCCTTTATCCTCGGAGTAAACGGAGCATATACACCTAGAACTGTTGAAGAGGATAAAGATCTCTATGTCTGGCATACAGTAAGCGCTTACTGATTGTCACTTCACCTCCTCTTCAGTCTCCCCGACAAAGTCTGTCTGTGATGGGCAGACACCATCCCATAGGCTGGGGGTGGGGTGGGGGGAGAGGGCAGAGCAAACGAAAGGAGAAAGCAAGGCGGGCACCAGGGCGGGTCTCTCTCTGCTTCCTGAGTCTGCAGTGTGGCCAGCTGCTGGTGTTCTGGCTCTGGTGCCTTGCCGGTGAGTGGCTGGATCCTCCGCCTGTGAACGGCAATAAACCGTCCTCCTTTGAAGAAGCTCCGCTAGCCAGCTGCTCCCTGCAACAAGAGAGGCAGCAAATGCTCTAACCTGCAGCAGCCAGTACCTCTTCTGAGGGAAGCGTCCCTCTGACATGAGTCCTGCCTCTTGCCTCATGCCTCCTGCCAGGCACCTTCCTCCACTGTGGCGCTGTAACTGCCGGCTGCCCTGTTCCAAGCTCTTTAAACGGGTGTCTGTTTCTCCCACAGGCTACTCAAGGTTTTTGCTTATTTGTGTGTGTGTGCACTCACACACATGTGAAAGTTATAGGATGGCTCTAAGAGTAGGTTCCATCCATCCATAATGTGGGTGTCCAGGGACTGGACTCAGGTTGTCAGGATCCTGGTGACTGCATGGATTTTCCTTGAACCCAAGACATGAGCCTCAAGGGGTGTGAGGCACAAAGGCCACGGGGATGGCCCAAATGAAACCAGCAGTGACCCTGGCACTCTTCAGTGTGCCTCCGGTTCCTGAGCAGCAGGAAGAGTGTTTTCTGAAAACAAATCAGAATGTGTGTCAGTGACGGCCAGATTGTCTGGGCTTCCCGTGCCAGGGTTGCCCTCCCCACCGTGTTGGACCTGCGGACGCGTTCAGGTCTGGATTAACCTGCAGATACATTGAAGGAGGGTGTGGATGGGGTCTGAGAACATTCGTTTGGCAGGAAGTGGCTTTCTGAGCATTGTCCTCTGAAATCCAGGATTTTTCTGTTTGGTCTCTTTGCCTGTGACTCAGACATCAAACTCTTCTTCCAATTGTTTGAGCTTACGAAACAGGCAGAAATCATCAACAATCTGGAATTTTCTATTTGTGAAAAGAAACTCACAAAATTAATGTGATTTTACTTTTAGATGTAACTAATTCATTTAAAAATAGAGACATTTTTTGAGACTCCCCTTAAGCCAAGGGGATTTATGGTTACATCTATTTCCTTTCCTTCCCAGGAGTTTAATGAAATTTTTAAAAATTTATATTACATTTATTTTGTGTGTACGTGTGTGCGCACAGGCATGCATCTGCAAACACACACACACACACACACACACACACACACACACACACACACACA